TTTTTTTTTAAAGAACAGAAAAAAAAAACAGCGTGGAGTCCCCCTCCCAAACCATATCAGACCCCTTAGGTCTGGTAGGAAAGTTAGGAGGGACCCCATAAAAAAATAAAAATAAATAAAGTGTCTGTTGTTCCCCGATAAAGTCATATCAGGCCCCTAAGGTCTGGTAGGAATTTTAAGGAGGAACCCCACCCCCAAAAATGGAGAAAAAAAAAGAATTAAGAACCCTAGGAAGGAACGGGGACAAAACATCTTTGTACTGCTTGTAGAATTTAGCTGTAAACCCGCCTGGCCCTGGACTCTTACCTGCTGGCACCGACCCAAGAACCAAATTCAGTTCATCCATGGTGAAAGGAGACTCCAAGGCCTCTGCTACCGAGTCATCCAAAACAGGCAGGGCAGTGTCCTGCACGTAGGAAAACAGTAGGGCCTCTCGAGCCGAGGAAGTCTGGTCTGCCTCAGGGATGTTATACAGGGCTTCATAGAACTCCGCAAACGCCTGGTGGATCTCTGAAGGGGAATCAACAAGTGCATCAGAAGATGTCTATGTCTGTGTCATGTGATACGAAGGTGCGAGAGGACTAAGGGTGTAAGGTCCTAGCCAGGGCCATTGAACAGTAACAAATTCTGTTTTTCTTTAATTATTCTGTTTTTTATTTTGTTCTAACATGTTGGTGTTCTATCTTTCACTTGGATGTTATGAGTTGCACAGAGTAAATACAGCTGGATAAAACAACAACTGGGCCTGTCTTCATTTCAGGCTGCAAAGTAACAAAATGTGATTCTTTTCTCTACCCACTGTAGCTTGGTGTCATCTGCAAACACAGAAATAGTACTTGCAACTAAGGATGCACCGATACCGGTATTTTGGTATCGAGTACCGATACTTTTTTTCGGTACTCGCCGATACCAATTACCGAGTAACGGAAGTCCCATTCAGGAAGCCAGGCGGCGTGTAATGACTCGCCCCCCGGGTTCCTGATTAGCCGGGAAGCCGTGCAGCGTGTAAAGACTCGCCACCCGGCTTCCCGATTAACAAGAAAGTCCTGAAGCTGTCATAGTGGTAGATGGACTCAACCATGACATCCGCACAGGTAAGTGGTGTAGAAAGTAACTGCGATATAAGGCCAGATCCAAAACCAAATACGCCCAACCTAGGACTTTTCAGTATCTGAGACTTCCAAGAGTGTTAATCTCTTGGTCCCCCACTGCACCCCAACAATCTCTACGTCACCTCTAATACTTCTAGGTCGCCTCTCACAATGAGCATGAGGAATGTTAAAACCAGAGATATTGAAATATGTATGTGTGAACCTTAAATGATGATTGATTTTCTATATTTTAATCTATCCAAGTTTGGAGATTCAGTTTTTTACTGTACTGCTGATTTTGAGTTTACAATTGGTAATCAATCAGTAAGCCTGACAGGCAGACGTAAGTATAGTTGTAACAGTTGTTGGGAATGTTCAAAGAAGACTATGATGCCCAAAATGGGATACAAGGAGAACACATGACTCAGCTACTAGAGTATGGCACTCACTTATGCTAATCAGAAAGACTTTTAAGGTAAACATCACATAGGTTATTTTAAAGTAAAAGCGTGGATAAAAGGATGAGGGATGATCCTTCAAGGGACACACACACACTCACTCACTCGCTCACTCACACACAAACACACGTGCACAGCATCACACAGACACAGACACACACACACACACACACACCCACACTGAATAGACAGACACCTGTTAGATCTATTTTTACTTACTAAAGCCACGTTTCCTAAGCATCTTATAGATTTCTGCTGTAAGATATACTATATTTTGTAATCATCAAGCATCTTATAGACTCATTCTGTAAGATATACCATATCCTGTAATCATTTGTAACTTTAAATTAAACACATTCTGAACTTTATGCAACAACGGAAACAATCATCTATTATTGAACTTTTCCACCCTATGCTTCGAGAAAAGGAATATGACAGAAAAAAATCATATTTCGTGTCATTTTTCTTACAAGGAACCTAGATGACCGCTATATCACCTCTCATAATGAACAGGAGGAACCTCTCAGACTTCTACATCACCTCAAATAATGAACAGTAGGAACCTAAACGACCTCTATATTATCTCTCATATAATGAGCGGGAGGAACCCCTTCCCGACCAATCAAGTAGTAATTCGCCCAGTTTCTGGTGGCCCTGTAGGGGTATATTGCCTAGTAGAAAGTCCCTGGTGCTCCAATGAAGAGTACACTGTACAGCCCTTGAACACTTTGCTTGTACAACATAAATCAGACAATTGCTACACAATGATATTTTATTAAATCACACTGATGGCACTTGACTAGCAAGTATATATGAATGCCAGCATTTCAACAACAGCTCACAAAGTATATAAAGGATTAGAAGTTATATTATGAACACAACTTGTTCTAAGCAGTCCCAGCCTGCAAGAACTTCTTCCAAACACACGAGTCACAGTCAAACTGCCTGCTATGTCCACCAACGGAAATTGAAGATGGTTCTCCATGGGGTCATGTGGTATTTAAAGGAAAAACACCCCAAATATAGAAACTGCAGCATGTGTGGACAACACAGTTACTTTAAAATTAGACATTGTATAAAATGAATACAAAGCAGATGATTTATTTTATTTTAGAATTGTCAGTCCACAAAAAAGTGATATTTGTAGTATTTGCAGGTGCTGGTTGTGAAGACATGGTCATCAGTTTATGGGTAATGTGTGGGTTATTTTTAAGTATGTTATAATTTGTAACCCCGTGTTATCTCTCTTTGTACTGCGAAGGAGCTCAGGACAATGACATTCTCCTGCGTCTGTCCAGACTCCTGCAATGGCTGTCTGGAGGTCTTTAGCAGCTGGACCCCTGCTGGGTTGTGCAGTCAGAATGTCTGGGGAGGGCAGGGTGGATGTGATGTGATTATAATCTTCTCTGGTCACTTTCTGTATAAAAGGTTGTACAGTTTCTCAATAAATCAGATATGTTTCTCCCTACACTTGGTTTCAACTAGTGACTGGGTGGACTCAGAACTAAAGATCACTTGGTTGCAGTATCTCCTCAGCAAGGAAGAATACAGCGGTGGATGGGGGTCCATCACACTGGTGGCCAGATTTACTCATTGTCTTCCTGTATCACTTGGGAATGCAATTGGTGAGATCTCTACACAAACATTTCTACCCAGGCATCCCTGTACCATTGACATTGCTTCACCTGTTGTAGCAACAGGCATCTCATTAAATTGATGTACTCTCCACCAAGAAAATAAAATAAGGTGGAGAGTGAATTCTTTTTAAATGGTTGTGGCAGAGGTGAGGAACTGGGAACATGGGTGCAGAAATGTGAATCATTTACCTACAGTTTAAATATCATGTTTTTATGGACTGACCATTCAAGTTGTATCATCTAACAGGATCATTACATTGTTATAAAAGTGTCTTCAGTTAAAAGAAATATCAGACGTGAATATCCCCTTTAAAGTGTATCTAAAGCTAAAGCACATTTTATAGTATTGGATAGAGCAGGGAATGCGTAGGACCCTTGCCAGTTTTCTTTGTTCTTGGTGTCCCATTGGAGAACTTGCTCTTCACTTCTGCCCTGTAGACAGAGGAGATCTCTTTAAAGTGAAATAAATTGTCTGTTAGGCAGTTGTCCCCATTGGAAGATTTCTCATGACCCCTGGTCACAACTCATAATTGTAGATGTTCTCTCAATTTCAGTCCTAGTGACAATGGTCCTAGGACAAATGGGGTGAATCCCCACAATAGGGACACAGACATAAAAAAACTGACAATGGTTCAAACTTTTGCATTCCATCCAAAAAAAAAAAAAAGGTTTTGTCTTTGAAGGTCAGTGAAGGTTTTCTTTATCCAGATCATGGGATAGCTAGTGGTAGTTACTGAAACTCAATGGACTTATTTTGCAACATTGAAGTCATTTCAAAGTTTCTCCAAAGCCACTTTTTAAGTTCTAATGAGCGTCAGGAAAATACCCCAGAATTGATTTCCACACAGGTAGCCCAGACACCTTCATCCAGTCACTATGGAATGTGCAGCTGTTGATTGTCCAAGAACAAGATTGAAGGTATGACATTTGTGGGACCATCTACGTCAAACTGGGACAACCGTTCCTGAACAGGGGTAAGGGCCTTTAACACCATCTGTCCTCCAATATAATGCCATTTTAACATCTCTACCCAGCAGTTTGACAACAATTCACACCCTTAGCTATGCAAATCAAAGGATTGATGATAATCCTTCGATTCATATGGCTGAGGGTGTGAATTGTTGTCAAACTGCTGGGTAGAGTTGTTAAAATGGGAGGCTGATGATTATGAAGCCTTCCTGACACCATGGATGAGATTATGCAAATAGAACAGGGTGGTTCCACAACTTTCACACCTCCCATGATCAATCAACATTTGCCTTGACACATTCCTTGGTGGATTGGATCAACGTGACTGTGCTACCTGTGTGGATGTAAATGTTGGGGTATGTTCCTACACGCAACAGAACTGTAGAAGTGGCTTGGATAAGCTATAAAACATCTTCAATATTACATAACAAATCTGTTTGAATGCGACTAACTACTACTAGCTCCCCTTTGGCTTTAGATACACTTTAAGAACAGGTTGATGTATAGCAGCAAAAAATCTGCATGCCCTTTATTACAAATACCCAGGTATATGTGGACACACCAGTGCTATTTGCATCTACTTCAATTTCATTTCCTGATCAAGGATCCGAAACTTTGGCAGATCATCAAATGTATTCATATTTGCCATAATTTAAGCTTCTCTTAAGGTTCTTATGTCAGAGCCACATTTGGTGAATTGTACCGAGAGGATATACCTTGAGTTCCTCTAAATATTTTGTTAAAGAATGTAAAGTCTAAATTTCAAAAGTCTTTTGCAACGACTTTCGACGTTGTGTCCTTTGAATCTCCTTCCACCTACAGCACCTTTGAAAGGTTCCTGTTGTATGTAAATGTGGACAATGATGGTTTCATCATTTCCCACCAGTGGTAATATGGGTGGGAAAGACAAATTAATTTTATATCAGATGGAGGATCTTGAAAATTGGAGAGAACGAGAGAGTCATCTCCTGGCCTCTGTACAGGTCAAATGGTTCCTCTGGTTCACTTGGACTTCTTGGCGTTGGCTTTCAGCTGGCGGGTTCGAATCTGGCGCAGTCGTAGAATGAGCTCTTTGGGCAATTTTCCTCCTTTAGCCAGCAGTTCCCTCAGACGTTGTTTGGGTGTTTTGGAGATGTAAAAATCGCAGATGGTGGCTCGGTCTTCATAAGAGACGTGACAGGACTTGGTAGATGAGTGATAGCCCTCAGCCTTAGCGGTGACCTCATAGTCTCCTGGGTTGAGAAGCCTCCAGTAGTCTCCATCAACAGCTAAAAAAAGAAGACAAATATTTTTTGTGAACCTTTGTAGCGCCCTGCTAATAAGAATGCTAAAATATATCTATAGTCTTTGTTCAGTTCAACTGTTACAGAGCAATCTGTGAAGCTGTGTCCGCCTGTGGATGGGTGTAGTACCACACAGAGCAGAGCAGCCAATGAGGATTGCTTTGGGCATTTCCTGTCTCCCAGCCAATCACTGCAGGACAGTGGCAGTGATACATGCTGGGAGAGGAGATAAATGCAGAATGTGGCTGATGCAACGCTCTCTTCCCTCCCCCAGCGCCTTCCTGGGGGCAGGATGCCTGCTGCTGAAGAGACAGAAGGGGCTAGGCCTAAGCCTGGGGCCTAGGCCTGGACACTGGGGCCTGAGCCTGGAGGCCCAGTGGTCAGCCACTCATGTTAGAGTTGAACCTGAACAAGAACATTGACAGTACTGCTTGCCCAGAAGTTCTCCACACAGATTGCCGGTATGGCTTAAAGGTCCAAGTCTGTGGTGGCAGCAGTTACTTTGCTCTGATTCATGTACAAGGAGTCTACCTCATCCTGGATGTGCCTGACCCTCCCCCTCTCTCCCTGGAGTTTCAGAAATAAAAGAGAATCATCTTGGAGCTATTGTCCGGACTTCAATGTGTCGGTAACCACTGGAAGTGGTAAGTGCTTTTGGAGCAGCCATGTGTTTTAATAATCCTTTGGGGGTGAGCGCTACACCTTACACCAATATTATCTTGTAATAGTTTTAGATGGGATGGGAAGGGTTAAAACTTGTGTAGCACCCTGTAGACAGGAGTGCTTTATATTTATTTATTGTCAGATTGTAATCAGTCTGATGCTGATTTGTAATCTATGCTCGTCTGTTTCCCCTAATCAGTCTGTCATCGTTTGCCTTTGTCTGCTGCTGGGTGTACCCTGGCCACAGAGCAGAACAGCCAATGAGAGATTGCTATGAGTAGGTATGTCTCCCTAGCCAATCACTGGGTGGTTAATGGCCAGTGGTGCATGCTGGGATAGGAGATAAAAACCTGGGGTGGACCATGTAAGCTCTCTCTTCCTCCCTGGGCCCTGCCTGGTAAGAGGCTGCTATGGAATGTCTGAGATGGCTAGGCCTGAATCCTTGGGACTAGCCATGTGCTTACACCGAGGCCTGAGTCTGTGGCCCAGTGGTTAGTGCTGATGACAAGGATGAAGATGACTGGTGACTTCTAACTCAAGTACTGCTGTGCCAGGTGCTCTTCACACAGATTGCCATGTCTAAAGGGTCCTAGTCTGTGATGGCAGCAGCTACTGTGTCCTACCACTTAAAGGAGTCTACACCAGCCTGGATGATCATGACCATCAACCTCTCTCCCTGAAGTTCATCAATAAAGTTCCTCAGAATCATATCTACAGTCTGGACCTCAATTTTATCAGTCACCATAGAGGGTGGTAAGTGCTAATGGGAGTAGTGAACCTAAATACCCCTAGACATGGAGATTACTGAGCTGCAGTAACCCATAGCAACCGACCCTAGGACCAAGGTATTCTCACTCTCAAGGTGTGCTGATGTGCTGTGGATCCATTATTGAGGCATATCACAGAGGAAATACAGGGAGACCCATTGCACTATTGTATGCTATCCCTTAGGGGGAGTGCGCTACATTTGCATCAGGTCTTTTATTGTCACCTGTGTTCCCAATAGGTATATTTACCCCCACTTTCAGTTCTGATACCTGGGGCTAAAAGACCTGGGACTTGATGGGAAATCTCTTAAATGGGGAAACCAGTACAGTTGGGGAGGGGGTGTTCCTCCTGCTCATCATGTAGGGTGATGTAAAGGTCTGAGGGGTTTCTCCTGCTTATTATGAAGGGTGATGTAGAGGTCTGAGGGGTTTCTTCTGCTCATTATGAGAGGAGATATAGAGGTCGTCTAGGTTCCTCCTGTTCATTATTAGAGGTGACGTAGAAGTCTGAGGGGTATATGAGAGATAAGATAGAGGTAATCTAGGTTCTTCCTGTTCATTATTAGAGGTGACGTAGAAGTCTGAGAGGTTCCTCCTGCTCATTATGAGAGGCGATATAGCGGTGATCTATGTTCCTCATGCTCATTATGAGAGGCGACCTAGAAGTGAAGTATTAGAGGTGACACAGAGACTTTTGGGGCGAAGTAGGGGACCAAAAAATCAACACTCTTGGAAGTCTTAGATTTGGAAAAGTTCTAGGTTGGGCGTATTTGGTTTGGGATCTGGCCTTAACGCAGTTACTTTCTACACCACTTACCTGTGCGGATGTCATGATTGATTCCATCTACCACTATGACAGCTTCATGAACACCATTATTTGTGTCCTTGTCCCGTACGACACCTTTAATCCCACGATGGACCTACAAATAGAGACAATACCCTTTATATCTGGAAGCGATCTACAGAACAACAGGCATATAGACAAACACTTGGAATATTAATAATTGGCCTTGCTTGCCACAGGATTTGTAATTCCATACAGCTGATCATGTGATCTAGTCTCCTTTTCCAGGCAGAACAGCCAGGACAGTGGACTCGCTTTTCTCTACTTGAGTTCCTGAGCCTTTTCTTACCTATAAATGTCTTGAGTTCCAAAGTGTTTTTTTTTCTTTTGGAGATATCTCAGATCCACTCCTTACATCTATTGGTCCCAGTGCAATCTGAGCCTGATAAAGTTTAAAAAAAAGTGTGTGTGTATATATATATATATCGTGTCTAAAGGAAATTAACATTGTAGCTCCAAGGATATTGACTCAATGTGCCTGTAAGTCAACCTCGGTCACCTGAAGAACGCAATTGCAGAGATTATGCTCCAGATATTCTTATTGAAGTGGTGTCTGCTAAGTGTGGGTGAAAAAAAGAAACTTTGGTTGGTATGCCCATAATGTTATTTTTGGTCTGCATCTTAATGTAGGAAAAAACAACCCATCATTATGATGCTTATTTATGTTATGACCACTTACAGAATCGTGTGCATTCCTATTGCTGGGCAAGATCTTTCTTCCCCCTCCTTTCTCCAAGTGCCGCGGCTCGGCCAGGCCAGCCGAGGACGCAGGCTGGGGATACCCTGGACTTCCCAATCGGTAGTACATCGACTACCTTCGTCACCCGCAAGTGCATGCAGGGATACTGTTGGCTCCCCTGTGGCAACACAACCGTAAGTCACACATTTACTTTTTAACCCTAACCATTCAGCTAGTCACAGCAGGCTGTGCAGCATTCATGTATTTATTAATTGTTATGCAATACCCATTAATTATCTATTCAGGTAGTTGCACTCTTCCTTGTACTGTTTTGATGAATGTGATTTACCGGGTTCCTCTCCCGGTTTTCGAAGAGTTTATGCACACCATCCCCCAACATACCAACGACCAAGCGAGTTGACCATACTACAGTGGAGCGCTTTCCATGCATGTTTGTTTTAGATTGACTATACACCTAGAGGTTTTTTGTGACAGCAGCACACTGATTGGATGGACACATCATGTCTTACACTCAGAAAGAAAGCATGTTCGAAAGCATTTTTCCCAACAATAAACCATACCCTGATATTTCAAAACTGCCCAGACTTCCCCCTGAGACCAAATACATCTATGGTCACCAACCTCCACCACACTCTCCCACATATGAACAAAATATGCGTAAAAACTTTCTAAAACTACGGACTCAAATTATTCTGGAAAGCCAACATTGGTGGGATATATCCTTCCTTGAAAAATATTTAGAACTAGGTATCACCCCGAGAGGACTTCGGATCCACAAAACATGTGATTTTTTGGAGCAGGATCTGGCTTCTAACTGGGATCTTTTGGCGGAGTTCTGCACAAAAAAAATGGATTGAACTCATTATCACACAGAGAAAACGTAAACTTAAACATAGTACTAGGACTATGCAGGAATTATATACCACCATCAAAAACTCATTTGGAACATCTTGTTTGTAAAACTCCTGGATAGCGAACTTAGAACACAAGACCAATAGTCATGAACACAATATTATTAAGTCAAAATCCAAAAAACTTTGCAGAGACATTGCAGATTATAATCTTAACAGAGTTTTTAGTTGGAAACAGACGTCTCGACGTCACTCCAAACACCAACCCAATCCAGTCCCCCTTTTAGCCATAAATCCAGTACCGTCCAGCAGAGTCGCCGAACTCGTATGGGATGAGGAGTCTCTCCAATTTAGATCTAGACTGGCTCAGAATATTGTGTATTAAACAAACATTAAGCAAAGAAAGCCGGTTGCCAAAAAGAGTCCTATTATCCCCCCACTTTCTACCCACCTGGGTACGGAGAGAACCAATATACCCACCCACGGACCATCCCCAGTAATGGTAGGGGAAATCACGGATGCAATAACCACAGCAACTCACATACAACTCTGTGACAACCCAATAGAAACCATAGATACAACCACAGCCACACATGATACTTCCACCATTGGCACGTTAGAAGATTTGTGCCCAGAACTTCAGAATATAACACACACTCAGCAACCAAACAGTTTAACAAATTATTTTTTAGTCCTCTAATGCCTCAAAATACCAAAAGAAAAAAACGAGAAGAGGGATTAGAGGAGGAAAAAACAGCCAAAATGCCAAAAAAGAAAAGTAATTACAAAGAAGTCCACAATAAAAATCTTCAATCTATCTAAACACTGCCTCACTCCGAGTGAAATATCATTACTGAACAAAGGTCTGAACTTTGCTCCTGATACAAAACCTGACCCGTTCACTCTCTTTAAGGATTTAAATAGATTCATTAGGCTTTTGACCCTCCGGAGACATTACTCCACCTCCACCGTTAACACCTTAGTCGCAGATGTCCCCTCTAATATCCCCCATGATATAGAGGTAGCATTGGACACTCTCGAATCTCATGATGGAGATATTTTACAAACACTCTACGAACTAGCCGACCAAAACTCCACCTTAGACCTGGATCTTGAATCCTTTCTAAATCCCGAAATAACACATACCAGTTTTAGACCAAAATCCACTTTTTTTCCGACGCATTCCAAGGGACCTTTCATAGACACTTTTTACCATGTGGTCTATGCGGATCTGCTTGAAATATGTGAAAAAGCAAAACACCACCATAATCTCACCCCCCTTGAAAACAAAGCGCTTAAAGACCTTGAATCCAATCACAGCATTGTAATCAAGCAAGCTGACAAGGGAGGAGGAATAGTTATTCAGGATCGCACCACATATATACAAGAGGCCCAGAGATTTCTGTCGGATTCAAATACCTATAAACTCCTCTCAGCAGACCCCCTACCAAGTTTTTCTAAAGAACTTGAGGGTCTAATCAGCCCTGCGTACGAGAAAGGCATTATCAATAAAAAAGAGAAGTCCTTTTTACTAGCCAAGTACCCCAACACGCCGTACTTTTACCATCTCCCGAAGATTGATAAAGACAGCAATAATCCCCCTGGACGACCAATTATTGCAAGTACTGACAGTCTGACAAGTGGCCTTTCCAAATATATTGACCATTTTCTGCAACCAATAGTAACATCACTTCCATCCTACATGAAAGATTCTGGACATCTGATTAACATCCTATCTACGTACACATGGGACCCCAATTACAGCTGGGTCTCTCTGGACGTAAGTTCCCTTTATACATCCATTCCGCACCGAGTGGGCCTCAGTGCCGTGCAACACTTTCTGGGACAAACATCAATTAATTATAATCAAGCTCAGTTTCTGGTAAATTGCACTGAATTTACTTTGACCCATAACTACTTCTCTTTTCTCGGGAAGCTCTATCTCCAGACCCAAGGGACAGCAATTGGGGCCAACTATGCCCCAAGCTATGCTAACCTGACCATGGGTCACTGGGAAGCACTATACATCTGGGCACGCAACCCCTTTGCCAAGAGGCTCATTTACTATGGTAGATACATCGATGACATAGTAATCATCGGGGATGGCCCTCCTGAAAGTGTTTCAGATTTTGTGACATATTGCAACGACAACAGTTTCGGTCTGCCTTTTACGCATGAGGTCAGCAACACTAGACTAGTGTTCCTTGATCTCGAGCTGTACTTCATTGACCGAAAAATAGTCACCAGCAATCACATAAAACCGACAGGGGGGAACTCATACTTACACTACAAGAGTTGCCATCACCCCCGATGGAAAAAGAATATACCGAAAAGCCAATTCTGTAGGCTAAAGAGGAACTGCACACAGGATGGTGACTATGTCACCTCTAGTCACCTTCTTCTGGATAAATTCAGGGACAAGGAGTACCCGGAGGAACTTATCACCGAGGCATTTCACAATTACTCCAATCATAAACCAACGGAGGAAGGAAAAAAGGACTTCAGTAAAGAGAACTATAGTAATAAAGATATTAGATTTATCACCACTTTCAGCAATAGTTTTAAAGCAATTCAAAAAGTGGTTAATAATCATTGGCATATTCTACAGAAGGACCCTAAACTGGGTCCCAAATTACCTCCCAAGCCATCGATCAATTTTAGGAGAACGAGAAATGTAAAAAATAGGGTGGGACCAAGTAGGTCTTTTCTAGCACCCGAATGTACACCAAAACATTTCCTCTTTGACAATCGGGTTGGCATCTTCCAATGCAGAAAGCCCAGATGCCTTACCTGTCAGTTTATACATCATGGACAATCGCAGTTTACCGACAATCTTAACAAGGTTCATACGATTAGGCAGTTCATCACATGCTCCCATGACCATGTAATCTACGGGCTTATCTGCCCTTGTGGTTTGATGTATATTGGTCGCACTATTCGCCCATTACGGGCCAGGATTGGAGACCATGGGCGTCTGATTGCCAAGGGCGACCTAGAACACAGCACCCCAAGACATTTTGGCATTAAACATCAAAAAAGGATCCAGGACTTGAGAGTATTTGCGATAGAACACATTTCAGCTAGTCACAGCAGGCTTGCAGCATTCACATATTTATTAATTGTTATGCAATACCCATTAATTATCTATTCAGGTAGTTGCACTCTTCCTTGTACTGTTTTGATACATGTGCTCTAGAGATACCTAAAAATGCAAGCCACAGCTGGTGTATGTAATCTGAGCTTCAGTCCAATAACTCTTTAACAATTAGCATCCACTCTGGGGTTGGATAGTTATACTGCTCCTGGTCTTTATCTGTAGAAGTCACAGCTTGGATGGGGATCTCCACAGCTTCTGATAAGCGTCCTTCAAAAATATTGGTGCCAGTGGTGGGAAGTAATAGACAAACCTGTTCCATATAGATGAGCAGGGACTCCTTGTTATTCTCCCACTCTGTTGGAAGCTCCATCTCGTGAGGGAACTTATCGCAGGACAGCTCCACTGTCACTTCAAAGCAGTTGGTGTGAAGGTAACTGAAATCATTCATACCTGGGTGGAGAAGACAGGAAACACTTTGGACATGAAGGAGGAACTGGAGGTGAAATTGGAATTCATATACTATATACGGTGATAGAAGTAGAAGTAAAGTAAGAGAAGGGATATTGTAGCTACTATCTATCTATCTATCTATCTATCTATCTATTGTAAGATAGGGTTTCCGTCCTCAAAACTCAGAAGCTCATCAGGGGGTCATTGCTACAGAAGATAGATTTCATTTCTGACCTGACAGGTTCTCTTTAATAACATGTAAATGGGAATGCTCACAGCTCAGTTTGTACTCACTTCCGGCCACGGTGTGCCAATTTGCCCCGTTGATGATGTTCCCGACTCTTATAAAGTCGTCATAGTGACAGATGCGGCGGTTATCTTCCGCCATGACGCGGTGGCTCGAGGCGTAGGCTGTGGCCAACCAGCGAAACATGGAGTCATCTGGGGTCGGCGTCAGTTCCTTGGCCATCCAATAGGAACGAGCCATGTCGAAGGGGTAGGAGACCACCAGTTCTCCTCCATGAAGGTTCGCGCTGAGGACAAACGGGATTTTCTGCATCCAGTCAATGATGGCGCGAGTCTCTGGGGCCACCTGTGAATTCATAAACCATTATCTAAGGACAGCAGAGATTTCCCAGTATGCATCAATGACTTGTCATTGGTCCAAAGTATTAATATGACCCTAACTACATAGTTATGAATATATGACACTATACCTTTAAGTTAAAGTGACAGTATCATGACTTTTGCCCTCGACTTTAATCTTTTCCCTTAACCATATATTATTCTTATTGTTACTCTGTACTGTTGCAATACAGACATTGTAACATTGTAGAAATAAACCCTGCAACATTTCACTTATTTCAGAATTTCAATAAACATGGCGGCAAAGATAAAATATTCATATGTACTAGTTCATATTTTTTCTGATTTAGGGATTTTTTTAAATAGTTTTTTGAAGATAATTGAAGGAGGTTCACTATAAAAGTCCAGTCCCCCGTCAGATAATATATCCTGCAGATATTACTTTGTTACTGACCGTGGCATTTTCCAGGGTGTAATACTCCGGGATGGGGATGTAGTGATTGGGAAACTCCAGTTCATTATCCTCCGCATCCCACAGCGGATTGTTCAGATCTGCAAAGTTGTGGTTCAGGTCCAGTCCTTGGTAGTTCCAGCGACCGATGCCCCAGCCAGAGAGCTCCGAGCCCTAAAGAGGGGGCACAGGAAGTCAATACATAGACGGCGCCTGGAAGCACATACATACAGTAATCCCGTTGGGTTTTGTGAGCATTTAAAGTGAAGTAAAAAAATAAACAAACAAAAAACGAATAACACTCATTAGAACTGAAGAAGTGGCTTGGAGAAGCAACGAACCATTACAAGTCCTGTTGAAAGTGACCGGCTACTACTAGCTATTAGACGTGCGATTCGTTTAGTTCCGAATTGAAATTCGGACGAATTTTCGGAAAATTCAGACATTCGGATGTATCCGAATTCCGAATTATATAACACATATAACGAATTCAAACCAATCCGAATTTCCGTTTCCGAAATTCGTTAGCGGTAGTTCGTTCGAATGTTCATTTCGTTTTCGTTTCTTATTCGTTTTGTTCGTTCGTTCGTTGCAGCAAAGTGACATTGGAGAAGGAGAAAAACATTTTTTCCCCCTCAAATGTCACTTTGCTGCAAACGAACGAATGAATGAACAAAACGAATAAAAAACGAAAACTAAACGAACGTTTGAACGAACTACCGCTAACTAATTTCGTCCGAATCCGAATTCCGACAGTGCACATGTCCACTAGCTATACCATGACCTGAATCGCCTGATTTTAATTTTTAGTGGACAGTGGAATCTACCTGTACCTGGCAAAACTTGTTACAATTAGGGATGCACCGATACTAGTATCGGTATCGGTGCCGATACCGAGTATTTGGGCGAGTACTCGTACTCACCAAAATGCTCCCGATGCCTATCCCGATACCTCTGGTATCAGAAAGCCTGGCGGCAAGTCATTATACACTGCCTGGCTTTCTGATTGACTGGGACGCCGCCTTCATGCTCTAACTTGGGGGAGGCTCCCTCCTAACATTCCAACCAGATCTAAAGGCTCTGGTATGAATTGGGGGGGAACCTCACGCTTTTTTAAATCTTCTGCAGAGCTGTAAAAAAAAAAAACATTTTTTTTTTCTAATGTCAATTTCCTGCAACAAAATTTCGTCCAATAAACGAAATTTCGACCGGACTACCGCTAACGAATTTCACCGAATCCCGAAACGAATTCAATTTCGGACCCGAATCCAAAATAATGCAAAACCTGAATCAAAACGAAACTAAAGTAAACACATTTTTTGCTGGTGCACATGTCTACTGACCGTCGGCTTTACAAAAGAAGTGATCAGGTGACTCAGCTGTCGCCCTATTGCTTCTCCGGGCCCGTAAACAGGCCGCCCACCCCCGCCGCCATGTTTGCCAGGCTCTGCTGCCCCTCCTACGGGCCCGGGACTGGCTTCTGGAGGGAAGCTGGGGAGGGGATCGGTGAACATGCGTTTACTGATCCCCTCCCCGTACTATGAGACCGGGAGCGATGCAGATTACATCACTTCCGGTCCCATAGCTGTGAGTGCTGGGCTCCTGAAGCCCAGCCAAAAGCTATTGAAGTGCGATCTGCACTTCAATAGCTTATTTCAAGTGTAAAGGTGACACTAGAGGTCTTTTGGACCCCCAGCATCACCTTAAAGAGTACCTGTCACTGCCAATCTGCTATCACATGGGGGAGCTAAGCCCCCCTATGTGATAGCAATTAAGAAAAGCCTGGCGGCAAGTCATTATACACTGCCTGGCTTTCTGATTGACTGGGAAGCCGCCTCCATGCTCCCATGTCACCAGGGAGTCACCAGTTTTGATAAATGCCCCCCCAGTATATCTGGTTAATAGGTTTTTGCTATAGGCGATCTCCCAAACTTCCCGAAGAAGCTCGTGGCCAAACGCGGTAAAGGCTGGACTCACTGCATGATTTTAAGAGAAACACTATGACAAATAAAAATGCAATATGGATATTGTTTAAAGTTGAGCAATTTATGAAATAGATAAGACTGCATATGATGTGCACTAAGGATGGGCCGAGTGTTCGATTCGAACATGAGTTCGAATCGAGCATCGGCAGTTCGAGCGCTCGCCGAGCGCCGAACTTTATTGGATGTTCGCGGTTTGTTCGACCGCGTACATTCCATAATACAAAATGCCCATTGAAGCTCTGATTTGTTAAAGTCTTGCACCTGACCAAAGGTCAGGTGCAAGACATTGCCCAATCAGGGCTCAGCGGAGGAGGGGCCTGAAGGAGAAAGTTCTCTATCAGGTCCCCCCATGCTGATTGACAGCAGGCGGGTGCAATAGCCAGCTTGCTATTGGCTATTGCATTTTACAATATCCAATAGCAGGCTGGGTATGGCTCCCAGCCTGCAGACGAAGTGGAGGCAGGGGAGTTCGAGTTCGTATTCGAACATTTCGGCCATTCGAATGTTTGAATACGAACCGAACAGGGGGGTGTTCGGCTCATCCCTAATGTGCACCTGTGATCCAGCGGGGCGCTATATCTTGGGATAAGAATCTGCTTTCTGGGATATGTTTTTACATTGGTTTTATGTACACTTCAAATAATTTCATTTAACCCCTTCGTGACGGGAGACGTACAGTGTACGTCTTGTCACTTTGTGCCTATATGACTGGCCACGTACACTGTACGTGACGAGTTATATCAGGCTTTGTAATGCCGGTAACAGCTGATTCTCAGCATTTAACAGTCATTCATTAATGTCTCAGTATTGAGGCATTAATTAATGAAATAATTAAGCTTTTTGTAAAAGCTTCTTCCTTTCAGTAATGAAAGAATGAAGCCGTTACATGCAAATAGAGGACTGCAATTTGCGATCCCGTATTTGACAGCTGAAAATAGCAGAGAGGTAGCAGTGACTCACCTCTCTGCTATTTGTTTTGACAGCTGGAGAGCCCGATGTTTAGATACAATTTATATCTTTTGAGTGAAATGTATCAGTTCTGATCGTCTAGGCACGATCAAAGAGCTTTTAGTGAGATCTGAATCTGACTAAAGTCAGGATCAGTCTCTAAGGTTATTATTAGCTGTTCCTAAGTTTGGATCAGCCTAATAGCCAAAAATAAAATAAAAAAGTTAATTTATCAAGCTGTCATAGTGATTGCTTGATATAAACTGACAAGAAAAAAAAAAGTTTTTTTATTTTATTATTATTTTTTTTACAAAGTGTAAAAAAATTAAAATAAAGTGTAAAACAAAATTAGGAAAATATACATTATATATAAATATATTTTTTATACTATAATTAATATAAAAAAATGCAAAAAAAAAATAATAATAATCAAAACTTGTGAAAAAAGTGTTTTCTTCTAGTTTTTTTCCTCATTTTTTTTATTTTATTTAAACTAAGTGAGGGGTTAGGTACAAATATGTGATATAATTATATAGCCCTATCTGTCCTCTAAAAAACTATATATAATATGTGTGGGTACATTTAGTAAGAAAGTATATTACTGCTGTGGAAGAATCACACAGCAAAAATGTAAAAAATGTGTCAGTCATTTATGAACAGAACCTGAAAACTAGCTCAGTCATGAAGGGGTTAAAAAAAATAAAATAATTTATTTTCCAGTAATTGCTGAGGGACATTTTGTATGCGATTATAACCCGCATATCCGGATGTGACACTATAAAAGCCCCATGGCACTTATTTTGTTGGTATTCAATTATTCAGGGGTGTGGTGTCCTAATTTCCTTTGGTGGCTCAACCAATCTTGTAAACAGCTGAACAAGCACAACACTTCCTTCTTCGATGACATCACCACTTCTGCAACTTCTGCACTATTCACTGCTCATAGCTTAATTGTACCATGATTCTCTCTTTCCCGCACTTCGGATTACATTAACCACTTCCCGGCCGGCCTTTGTAAAAAAAAACGACCGGCCAGGAGCTCTCTAGATCTGAGTGGGCGTCCGCTCAGCCACGCCCCCTCGGGAGCGGGAAAGCCCTAAAGTTTTAAAACAGGCACCGATGCCTGTTAACATACAAGCGATCTGCGGGCTATAGAGCCGGCGGATCGCTTGTATGAGGTCCCGTGATGTGCGCCCCCCCCTCCACGGCTCCCCCCCTCCCACTGTCACGCAGGTCCCGGGTTCCGCTGTGCCCGGTGTGAGCCCAGGACCAGCATAAGGCCTCTGTCACAGGGGATCAGAGGGAGATCGGTACACGACCTCCCTCCGGTCCCCTCTCCGCTGTCAGAATGCGGAACTGATGTATATTACATCACTTCCGCATTCTTCTGTCACTCTCCGGCTTCAGACGCTGGAGAGAAGCTGATGGAGCAGATCTGTGCTTCATCAGCTTCTTCAGGGGGGTCCTGGGTGACATTAGGGGTCTTGGAGACCCCTGATGTCTCCATAAAGAGGACCTGTCACATATTTTGCTATCACATAGGGGGGTTTTCTTAGCCCCCTATGTGATAGCAATAAAGTTAAGTGGAAAAAAAAAATTTAAGTTTCCCCCAAAAATGTAAAGTTACACATAAAAAAGAATTATTATTATTTTTTTTAAAAGTCCCCCCCAAACATGCAACGGGTGCGCATACGTGCGAAAACGACGATTGCATCCATTGCGCCGCACATGTTACATATCGTCGCGAACGTCGGAATGAGAGCAATAATTCTAGGGCCATCAATCACTGATAACACTAAACTGATGAATGGTAAAAGCTTTTAAAGCGTCACCTATGGTCAATTATGGGTATGGTCGTTTTTAGCGATTTCGCAGGTGCGCTTAATTTTAAAGCTTGACATGTTTGGTGTCTATTTACCTGACCTGACCCCGACTTTTATATTTTACCAAAAATATGTGTAATAATCATTGTTTCCTAACATAGTGAAAAAAAACGTTTTTTTCCCAGAATTTTCAATAATTTTTCCTTAATATAGTAAAAAATAAAACCCCCAGTGGTGATTAAATACCAGCAAAAGAAAGCTCGATCTGTCCCCAAAAAATGGTATAAAATTCATGTCAGTGCAGTGTTGCATGACGGAATAAATGTCAGTCAAAGTACCGCATCGCTGAATACTGAAAAATGGCCTGGACAGGAAGTGGGTTTAACACCACGGTCAGCAAGTGGTTAATATCTTCCGGAAAGCAATATTGGCACCGCAACAGACCACTGCCAACAATCGTTCAAGTCTTTTCCGATCAAGCTAGATCTACACCAACACCGAACAGTCCCCACTTGGTTGTAGCGCTTCTTTCTCTCCTTTTTGTCCTTTTTTTACACAAATCGGACACCCCGGTCTGTACAAATTAGAAGCTGCACATCAAACTAAGACCACCCAGACCCCCTGCCCTCAGAAAGCCCTCATTCACATTGTAATCGGCCCGCACGTACAGCTTTGTGCTGCGTGCACGGCCGTACTGAGCAGCTCCCTGGAAGGACACGTGCAGCGTGTGATTAGTACGCGGCCCCCGTCCTTCTCTATGGGACTACGCGGCGGTGCGCCCCCCTAGGCTCACCCGCCCTGCACGTCCGGGCGGGTGTCCGTACTCGTACGCTGGCAGGATGGATCCTGTCTGCGTCCGAGCCAGGAAGCACGTACCCCTACGGACCTGCACTTGAGGTGATCATAGGGGGGCGTACGGCCGCGCAGTCCCATAGAGAAGGACGGGGGCTGCGTACTAATCACACGCTGCACCTGTCCTTCCCGGGTGCTGCCCGATACGGCCGTGCACGCAGCACAAAGCTGTACGTGATTACAGTGTGAATGAGGCCTAAAGATGCCCCTTTCCTCGCTGTAACTTCGGACTTCGTCCTCACAACTTTCTATTAATGAAGAAGGAAGATAGCAGCTGCCACTTTTAGAGACACACATACTGGAAGAATGAAAACGCATAGCGGCCTCTCAGTATTCCACATATGTGAAGATCTGAGCAAAAAAAATAAAAATAGTTCTGCTGCCATAAACCAATATAAACAACTAAAAGCTTTAGAAACATGTGACCCGTGGGCCCGCGGCTGTTCTCTGAATGTCTCAGTACGAAGGAAGGGTATTACCAGCTTGTAGGCCATCTCGTACCCATCCGGGTTCATGGAGGGCAGGAGGTGGATGCGGGTATCGGTGACCAGCCTCACTACTCTGGGGTTCTTGTTCTTGTACTCCTGGCACAGATATTCCATGAGGTTCAGCATCAACTCCCGGCCCACGACCTCGTTCCCATGCATGCCGGCCACATAGCGGAACTCCGGCTCCCCTGTAACAAGGCAGGAAATGCAGAACAATGCTTAGTAAATGCTGTACATGCCATCTACATACTTCACTCTCCATACAAAATCATTTTTCTACTTTTGATTGAAGAGTCAGTACATCCAAAAGCCTACACTGCTGTTATGGGGCCTGGAGAAGGGAGGGGGGGCCCATTAGGAATGTTAAAAGAAATAATAGAACAACAATAGGAATATTAAGGGGTATTTTTATAACCAACAAATAAGCTAATACAGTTCTTAACAGAGCTCATTAGCTCAAGCTGCAATTTATACACATCCTGATAAGTCAGGGCCCTGACATCTCCACTTTCTTCCGCAAGGCTCCAATCAAAGACAGCATGTCTGAAAGGGAAGGACTAATGCTAGGCTCTCTTTTTAGAAAGCTCCTAGTGCTCTGGCAATTATTTCTTATATTTTAAATGTTTACTTTTAAAATGACGAAATTTTTTAAAACAAATACATATATATATTTATAAATAACGTGTTTAAAGGGATAGTTCACCTTCCTACTGAAATAACTGTGGCAGTGCGTGGCAATGCCACGGAGTATGCTGGCAACACAATCACCCAGGACTCTCAGCCAGAGGGGCTGAGAGGTTCCAGAATGTAAATTGTTTGGCAGGGAAGAAGCTGGCCTTTCAGTTTCTTCCGGTTTTTCCGGATTGTAGCCGGGAATCTGGAGCTCTGGAGATTTCTTAGAGTTCTGGGTGGGATGAAATCTCCAGTCCTGAGGTCAGGTGTTGCCGGTGATCAGGTGGCTGAGAGCAGCCTCATTAAGAGCCCAGCTCAAGAAAGAGTTGGTGTGGTGTGTGCTGGAGGCACACGAGGGTCAAGCCAAGCCAGGGAGTTGTGGGTGTGCTGGAGGCACATAGCCAGGGCCGGATTTACTGGCCCCATTACATTGGCAACTTCCCCACAAGGTCACCGCTGCCGCCCCGAGGCCGGGCCTCGGTGGCCTTGTGGGAAATTCGGGCCTGCACATAGCCAGACTCTGCTGCATGCGTGAGCACAAGTGATACAGCTGGGAGAGGTCAAGAGGGATGGTGACCCTGAGATGCCTGTCGGAGAGATGGAGACCCACTAGGGGTGAATGCTAAAACGCTTGGAGCTGAGGAAAGCTGCTGAGCAATACTGAGGACTGTATTGACAGATAAATACAGTAAAGTCCTGGGACTATCACACTGGGCGTGTATGGGGCAGAAAGATGTCGGTGAGACCAAAGGATAATGTTTTGATGAAAGTCCAATGAACTGTTCTTTTTTATTCATCATGGATTGTTGACCTTTTGACTGAATAAAGACTGTCCCTTTTATGTAAGCCCTCGTTCACACCTGAACGTTTTGTAGCGCGTTCTACGCTCGACGAACGCTCTACAAAACGCTCAAAAATATAAATCCCATTGTATTCAATGGTCTCGTTCCAACCTCGGCGTATTTCCGCCCGTCCCTAACGCGCTACAAAATGGCCCACGCCTGAAAAGGTACAGGTACTACTTTGGGCCGTTTTGTTGCGCGTTTCCATTGTGGTACAGCCAAGTAGCCTTCGGAAACGCGCGACGGTCGCGCGACTTTTTTACCGCAAATCGCGGTAAAACAGACGCGCATATGCAATACGCCTAGGTGTGAACGAGACCTTAAAGTCGGCTTCAGGAGTGGTCACTTAGCGCTCACTATTGGGATATATTCCCCAAACCAAATCACATGACCCAATAATTCAAGCGTCCTGAGCTCGGCCTACACGTATGCTATTGGCAACAAGCTTGTTTTGCACAATCTGAATATTGTTTTTTCTGTTAGTGGGGGATGGTTGAATAATTGGGGGATTTTAGTGGAAAGGTGAACTAACCCTCTAAAGACTCATCATTCTAATAAAAATTTAGTTCATTTTTGGTGAGACTTTTACAAAGTAAAGGAAGTAAGGGGAGAAAGGGGCAAGAGAAAGTAGATGTGAACGGGTTATTACAAGCATGCTATTAATACATTTATAACAGGGTGGAAACCCAACTGCAGGGGCCCCTACAACACAGCTACAGTCAGCTATGGGCACCCACAGCTCCAAGGGACCAGTAAAGTCTACTAACCACCAGGCTAAGTATCCAGACTTTACTTACAATCATAGGAGATCATAGAAATGTATCTGCGTGGTATTAGTGCAGCCATTCCCCACCAGGATTCCATGGAACCCTAGGGTTCTTTCAGGGGTACTTAGGGGTTTCTTGAGCAGGGGTGTGTTGACCTACCACATGATGGCGCCTGCATAGTACTGGGACCAATGTCACTTTGCAGAACCAACTGCATGGCACCAGTGGAGCCTCTCCTCTTGGTTCACAGATAAGTTACCACTAACAGTGAAGACCTTTCCAAGTGATGGATTCTTCCCACTTACCTTCAATATAAGGGGCATTCTTTGCACTAATCACCAATGCAAGGGGGCATTTACTGACAGACTGTATATGTAGGAAATAATTTACTGGCATACCCCAATTGTAAGGGGGCAATTATGGACAAACCATCATTGTAAGGGGTATTTATTGACAGACCACCTATGTAAGGGGGCATTTATTGATAGGCTACCTATGTAAGGGGGCATTTATTGACAGACCACCTATGTAAGGGGGTATTTATTGATAGGCTACCTATATAAGGGGGCATTTATTGACAGACCACCTATGTAAGGGGGCATTTATTGATAGCCTACCTATGTAAGGGGGCATTTATTGATAGGCTACATATGTAAGGGGGCATTTATTGATAGGCTACCTATATAAGTGGGCATTAATTGATAGGCCACCTATGTAAGGGGGCATTAATTGATAGGCCACCTATGTAAGGGGGCATTTATTGATAGGCTACCTATGTAAGGGGGCATTTATTGATAGGCTACCTATGTAAGGGGGCATTAATTGATAGGCCAACTATGTATTCTTTTGTTTGTTATTAGTATTATATCTACATCATATTGATGATGCTAATGTGCTGTGAGCTGTAGATACAATCATGTTAAGCAGTGGTTCCTTGAGACCTAAAAATGACCTCAAGGGTTCCTCAGTGTAAAAGGGTTGAGCAAGGCTGTATTATCGGATGATATCCTCACCCAGCTCGTGCTGCCCCGGGTTGTCAGAGATTTCCATGACGTACATCTTCAGGCCCAGGTAGCTCTTGCCAATGCTGTACACCCGAGTGATGTTCGGGCAGGCTTCATTCACCCTCTTCATGAGCTGGAAAGATGACAGCACATCAGTAAAAAAAAGGGATCACCAGCTATTGCCTGGTTCCTAACTGTCCATCATTGACAACAACAGGTCCATATGAATTGTCCCCTGTATTCAGAGTTATCCTAAACCCAGGCAATCTAACAACCTCAAATACTGTCCTCTTGTAATGCTCTCTATGACTTTAAAAACAAATTCTGGTTTGGTTGAGCTGAAATGAATGTATGTAAGGTCAGCTTTGGATTCTATCAAACATGAGCTGCTCCTGTGCTGCAGATAGTGAGAAGGTCTATGCCAGTGTCAGGTCAGCTTTGGATTCTATCAAACATGACCTGCTCCTGTGCTGCAGATAGTGAGATGGTCTATGCCGCCAGTGTCAGGTCAGCTTTGGATTAAATCAAACATGACCTGCTCCTGTGCTGCAGATAGTGAGAAGGTCTATGCCAGTGTCAGGTCAGCTTTGGATTCTATCAAACATGACCTGCTCCTGTGCTGCAGATAGTGAGAAGGTCTATGCCAGTGTCAGGTCAGCTTTGGATTCTATCAAACATGACCTGCTCCTGTGCTGCAGATAGTGAGATGGTCTATGCCGCCAGTGTCAGGTCAACTTTGGATTCCATCAAACATGACCTGCTCCTGTGCTGCAGATAGTGAGATGGTCTATGCCAGTGCTCATGCTCAGATCTTTCTACAGGAGTGCCAAGCGAAGTGGATGGGTCCACCATCACTATAATAACAGTCTCAGCATACTCAGAACCCTCTGCATCCTGTGCAAGTATCTTCTCAAACATGGAACTCTCAGTGCAGTTAACATTGGGACATCACTGAGGATGCCGAGAACCCCAAGCTTTGTGCAAATGTCTGGGAGAGGAAGGGAGCCAATTACATGAACAGGGAGGTGAGGACTCCACAAATAAAGGTTTTTCCTTTACATATATATCCATTCATATTCTCTCTCCCCCTTCTCTTTTTCTCTCTCTCTCTTTACTCTCTCTCTTTTTTGCTCTCTTTCTTTTTTCTTTATCTCGCTCTTCCTTTTATCTCTCTCTTTCCCTCTCCCTTCTGTCTTTCTCTCTCTCTTTCTCTCCTCTTTTACTCTGTCTCCCTCCATATCTCTCATCTGTCTCTTTTTCTCTCTCTCTTTCACCCCCCTTTCTCTCCTTCTCTCTCTCCCTAGTCTCTCTTGTCTACTCTCTCTCTTTCTTTCTCTCTCTCTCTTCCATTTATGTCTCTCTCTTTCTCTCTCCCTCCGTCTCACTCTCTTTCCTCTTTCTCTCCTCTTTTACTCTTTCTCCCTCCATATCGCTCATCTATCTGTCTCTTTTTCTCTCTCTCTTTTGCCCTTTCTTTCCTCTTTTCTCTCTCATCTTCTCTCTCTCTATTCTCTCTTCTCCACTCTCTTTTTCTCTCTTTCATTTTTCTTTCTCTCTCTCCCTCCATCTCTCTCTCTTTCCTTTTTCTCTCCTCTTTTACTCTCTCTCCCTCCATATCTTTCATCTCTCTGTCTCTTTCTCTCTCTCTCTCTCTTTTGCCCTTTCTTTCCTTTTTTCTCTCTCTCTCTCTCTTTCCTTTTTCTCTCCTCTTTTTCTCTCTCTTTCTCTCTCCCTCCATATCTCTTTCATCTCTCTGTCTCTTTTTTTCCTCTTTCTTCTTCTTCTCTCTCTATCTCTCTCACACATTCATTTGCTCAGATAACCCGCTAAGCAGTAAACTGGTATTATTGGTAATCATTGTCTATAATATAGATCCCATTCCCTCCAGTCTCTCTCTCTCTGGTCTCCGCCTTGTAATTACCTTCCTCATCGCCTCGTAGTTGTGGTGTTTGAACTCCAGTTTATCTGTTGGTTGTGGTTGGTGTTCCCACATGAACACAGTATTCGGATCTGCGGAGAGAGAAACCACAATTTCACATAGTGCTCGCAGTGTTTGCCTCCCTGCGGACTGCGGTCAGCCATGTTTGTACAGCGTATTTCGATTCGGAACGAAACGAATCGCACATGTCTAGTGTGCAGTGCCTGCCCACCGGAGTCAAGGAGTGGTGGCATGGACCCAACGCCTTATCCTAACCACCAAGCTCAGATCTGAATACAGAACCTAAATGGAACCCTAAACTAATCTGTTAACCCAAAAACATCAACCCAGCCCCCAAACTTAACCCTTGATCTATCACTGAACCAAAACCTACATCTGGGTCCTTAGTCAAACCCCCAAAGGTTACTCTTAATGTACCCAACCCCCAATCCTATAACTAAAGCCAAACCTTACACCTAAGCTTAAAGTTTATGTCTGACACAAATGAAAAACCCCATATGTAGTAAATCTCTACAATCCACGCACGCTTCCACGTGTTTCATCCCTTTTAAAAGACTGCAAGTACGGATAAATACCGAATAATCTGCCAGAAATCCACTGAGCTCCCATCGTTCTGTAGAGAGCTGATAACTTTGCCTCTGCCACATTAACATCCCAGGATGTGTTGTCAGCCTATGCTGGACTTCAGAACACCTCCCCTTCTCCTCAACTAGACATGTGATATTCATTTCAGTTCGAATCAAAATTCGGACTAATATTCGGAAATTAGGACTCATCCGAATTCTAATTCATCCGAATGTGTCAGAATCCAAATTTCCGTTTCCGGATTTCGGATCCCGTCCGAAATTCGTTCCAAAATGAAACTGAATCAAGCATGTGACTTTACTGGCCAATCAGATGTGTTTTTCGGTTTAATGCATCCCAATGGGTCTGAACACGAATTTTAATAACAAAAATTCTTATACATATAATACTAAAGCTGAGGCTGCTGGACCCGAATGGCATTGGGGATCCGAATTTCCGAATGCCATTCGGAGCTCCCGTATGCCATTCGGGTGTGGGAGCCTCAGCTAAAGTAATATATGTAAATGGCTCCCAGACCAGAATGGCATTTGGGAGTTCCCAAATGCAATTTGGAAATTCGGATCCCTAATACCATTTCGGGTCTAGGAGATTCAGCTTTAGTATTAATATCTGTATGTGGCTTTCTGTGGTATTCGCATCGAATATTCATAAACTCATCCGAAACTAACGAGAATTCGGATTTTGTCCGAATCCGAAAACCAAACCGAATTGAAGTTCGTATCCATATCCTGAATTCCGAAATATCCGAACTAGGGATGCACCGATATACCAGCGCCGAAACATATCGGCCGAAAATTGCACTTTTGGCATAATGCAGAAAGAGCCATGTTTCGGCCGATACATCGGCGCATCCCTGGTTTCTTTTCTCCCCGCTGGGCGCTGTTCCAGCGGGGAGAAAAGAAAGTGACAGCCGGCCGAGCGCTGCAGGACGAGAGCGCTGTGAATGGTCGGCGTCTCTCCTCCCACACCGCTCTGCCGCCTATCACAGTCCAGCAGAGCGGTGTGGGGGCGGAGACAGCGCTGTCACAGGAGGCTGGGCTTTCCTCTCTACACGGCTCGATCAGCCTCCTGTGACAGCGTGTCAGAGAGAAAAGCAAGGTCAGTGATCGCTGAGTGTGTGTACATAATTGAGGATATGGTATGTTAACTATATACTCAATTATGAATGAATGGGAAGTGATCTACATCACATCTACATCACTTCCTGTTCATTCATAATTGTGGTTATAGTAAACAAACAATGTTCTCATGTTATCAATGAACAGGAACACTCAGTATAGAGGATTCCTGTTCATTGATAACAGGGGACACAGAAAGAGAGATTGAGGACTTTGTGTTCTCAATCTCTTTTTCTATTTTAAAAGGGAAATATCAGGGGTCTGTTTAGACCCCCCAATATTTCCCCAAAGCCCCTAAAAGTAAAGTAAAAAAATAAAAATATTTAATAAAAAATGAATTAATAAATAAAAATAAATATACATTTTTTAAAAAGTTTATAAAAAAATAAAATATTTAGAAAAAATAAAAATAAAAAACATTTTCGGTATCGGTTTCGGCCTGACATTGACTAAACTTTGCATTGGACCACGTCGGCACTTACACAGGTGTAAGAACCCTTCATTCCCATCTACATGACAATGCTCGGGCTTGGCAACTGGCTACTGGGACACCATGAAGGGCAGAAGGTCACAGGCACCCCCTTGCATGGAACTACCGGGTACTTCAAATGAATCACTTGAGTTGGAAAACAGTATAGGTGGAAGCGCGGGGAAGGGACCTTGTGGTTCCCAAAATGTCACCTATGATGATGTGACACTATAGAAGTCAATAAATATTGACTATTATACATGTTGGAGTGCTAGTGACTTCTTTTCACTTATTTTGCGGAGGCATCAGCTGTCACTTTAAGCACCCGCCCTGTAATTTCTTTTTTATTTTTTTATCCGGTCAGGAGTGCGATGGGCTTGAATGTTTATTGAGGGGAAGGCTGTCTGATGAACCTGTTAAGGACAACATACCTTTGATACAAGTTGGTACTTAAAGGAGAACTATGGGGTCAGAGTTTTTCCCCATAGTTCTCCTTAGGGTAACGGGAGGACACAAACTAGCATCCTCCCGTTACCCTAAGCTCAGAATACCGCGAGCTACAGCTCACGGTATACTGAGACGCCGCAGCCGGAGCGGATCCCGACCTGGACGTCGGGATCCGCCCAGCTGCATGAGTGACAGCTGGCTCTGCCTATCTAGAGGCAGAGCCAGCTGTACCCGCCCCCTCCCCCATCCGTTCCGCCAGTCAGCGCTGGCAGATCGGAGCGTGGAGAGGGGAATCCAGCCCCTCCCCCTGTCACGGCAGAGAGCCGTGACAGGATCGAGAGGTGAGCGAACCCGGTATGTGTTCGCTTACCTCCCGATCTACTGAGTCGACCTGTGACAGTCTCATTGTCACAGGTCGGCTAGAACTATGAGGTGAGTGGAAGTCACTCATCTCATAGTTCTCCATTAATGTATATGGCAACCTCCCTGAGTGCAGCCCACCTGGCCCAATACTCACCTTTAATGCTAGATCCAGAGATCTTCACAGTGCAGCCCTGTATGGGCTTCTGAAAGCATTCACGCCGGGTCCTCTTCATCCTGCACACAACAAGTGCCGCAGCCCTATTCATACCTATGTTAAAGAGCTGTAATTTGCAGAACCGTTGGAGGTCGCCATAGTTAGGCTCCCTATAGGAACAAATGGGGGTGCGGCACATATACCCAAGATGAAAAAAAGGCCCAGTGAGGCCTTTTTTAAAAGCATGGCTGTGAGGTGTCTGCCCAATGAAGATCACTGGACCAAGCTGGAAGTTGAGTATTTGACCCCGGTGGGTGGCACTTGGGAGACGGCTGCATTCATTTATGAACCTGTTCACAGGTACGGTTGTCCATTATAGCTTAAAGGTTTACTTTAAAGCCCAAGATTCCAGTGCTGCAAATATTTCATCAGAAATTCCAATCAGCCTTGAAGAGCGCACCTGGAAGGGGACATCCCAGAATCTCCGCTCTCAGGCAGGCGGTGCCATTTTCAAACCAGCTCTGCGGATTGATCCTTATGTAACGCCCAACCATTGGGGTCGGCAGTCGGTTCAGGATTGGCGTATCCGGGTCTTTGTTTGCTTTAAATATCTGAAAAATAAAAAATAAATGATTTTCTGAGTTCTGGACACAATACACAAATTGAGGGGTGCATTTATTTTTAAAAAATCAAGGTGCCCTTCATCCTGCAAGATTGCATGTACATATGTTCTGTGCAAATAGTGACAAGAACGAATGCTATTAGTACAGTATATTTTCTTTCCAGTTTAAATGTAATTCAGTTAATCAGAGAAATACCAGGTTATGGCCACTAGATGGAGCCAGAGTAGTATCCAATACTTACCTTTAGGCCCCATTCACACTGAGCGACATGAAAATCGCGCGATTTTGAGCAACATGAAAATTGCGCGATATTGCGCGACGTGTCGCGCAACTTTTTCCTATTGGGCTGTATGCAATCAGGAGCAATATCGCTCGAAATCGCTCGAAAAAAGGGTCATGTAGGAGCGACAAGCTACCAGCGACAAGCTACAAGCGATATTGAGCGATATTGAGCGACGAGATGTGCACAGCTCCATTGAAATGGATTGGAGACGCTACATAGAGCGATATCGTGTGGAAATATGAGCGATATCGCTGCAAAAATCGCGCGATAAATCGCTCAGTGTGAATGGGGCCTTATGCTAGATCCAGAGCTCTTCACAGTGCAGCCCTCCTCCTTAGCGCCATCTAGTGGCCATAACATGGTACGCACTGCAATCTTATCAATCAAATACATTCAAACTGATAGACAATTTACTAATAACATTTATTATTTGTGATGGATGGTTTCCATCCAACACCTTCATCCAACATGCAGTTCAGATAACAGAGGCAATCTTATGTTATCCCCTTGCTTGCTTGTAGTTGAAAGACTTAAATAGAATTGTGTAGTTGGGCACAGCTTGCCGCTTGCAAAGGCGGATTCTGTAAATGTGGACATTGGACCCAGTTGCGGGCACAACGTCTGGTCTTTGGCAGCTCCATATACTGGGAAAATCTTGTAGAATCAAAAATCCTCAACCGAATTTTCCCCAGTGTCAGCACAGAGATACACTGTGCTCCACAGGGGCTCAGCTTTTGTATGCCAGGGCCCATTGATGGGGCCCCAACACCTCTTCTTGGAGTGGAGAATGGTAAATAAAAGAAACACTCTGGATTCTGTGCACCATACTTGAAGAGGCGATTTTGAAATATGGTGAGGTGGGCTTAAAAGGAACCTAGAAGCCCTCCACTGCTAAAGGATCAATAAAGATTTTTCCTCCCGGAATTTCGATCCCAAGTTCGATTGCTCTAAAAAATTACACCTGATCCCGTAATTCTCAGCTCCAGGTCTCTGCAATATTGTGTCTCTACCTCCAGGTTCAGGCCGGACAAGAGAGTCCAAAAAGATACCTGCACCGCACCCCAATATCCTCCACTCAATTGTTTATTTTAGAGGAGTCACATGACCTACCTGAGCTCCTCCCACTGACACGCTTAACCCTCTATTGGGCTTAGCCACAGAGTGGTCATAAGAATGAGTACTTGTATGAATATTTGTTGTGAAAATGCGCAGTATCAGCACCGATACCGGTATCAGTATTGGTGCATCCCTAATGGCACCACAACACAGCAACGGACATAATGCAATGCCATAATGTAAATGGACCCTTAAAGGAGAACTATGGGCTTTTCCCCATAGTTCTCCTTAGGGTAACGGGAGGACACAAACTAGCGTCCTCCCGTCACCCTAAGCTCAGTATATAGGGAGCTACAGCTCGCGGTATACTGAGACGCCGCATCGGAAACGGATCCCGACAATTATGTCTGGATCCTCCCAGCTGCGTGATTGTCAGCTGGCTCTGCCTATCTAGAGGCAGAGCCAGCTGTACCCGCCCCCTCCCCCGTCCGATCCACCAGTCAGCGCTGGAGGATCAGCAGGGAGGGCGGAATCCAGTCCCTCCCCTGTCACGGCAGAGAGCCGTGACAGGATCGAGAAGTGAGCGAACGCCGGTATGTGTTCGCTCACCTCCCGATCTACTGAGCCGACCTGTGACAGTCTCATTGTCACAGGTCGGCTAGAACTATGAGGTGAGTGGAAAGCACTCCTCATAGTTCTCCTTTAAAGCCCAAATCTAGCCAAACTTTTTTTTTGTCACAGGCTCTTCCAGCAGAATGAGCACACCTTAGACAGAGATGGTCCACTGTTTGTCACGAGAAATGCCATGCAGCCAATGCTGGAGTGTGCGTAGACAGGACGTGGCTGCAAAGAGGCCGCAGGAGATCAGAAGGACTCAGAATAGAGAATAAAAAAGGGTGAAAACAGGATTTTATTGAGAAATAATGAATCTCTGGTCGGCCACACAGGAGTTAAACTGTTTGCAAACGTCGCCCCGGCCAAGATCAGCAGGAGAGCGAACGCTGCTGGCGCCGGGCCCAACTTTCGCTCCAGGAACGGGACGCGAGCCAAGCGGAGGACCGCAGGCCGAGGCTCTTAAAGCCGAGCAAACATTTTGATGTGTCAGCGGAGGAGAAGGACGACACTTATTACATGTTTGCACAACACCTTCCGCACAAGACAAATAAAGTATTAGTGGCCGGCGGACCGCCGTACCGAGAGCGGGCCGCCACATTAAAGGGGCCGGCCATCTGTCTCTGCTTGCCCCAAATCTTCTCTGCCATGTGTCACTGCTGACGGCACTTTGATGTGAAGGAAATTCCCCTCCACTGACACACGTTGGCCCTTTGTTGTGTATTTATCTGATCAAACGTTCATTTCCGCAGCTTTGTGACTCTCGGGGCTGACCGAGCCATCCGGGACAAAGTCCTGAGGGATGAGCGGTAAGTAAATGACAATCAGATGCGGCTTCAAGGAGGAAGTTCCGCCGGTTCTACAATGTAGGAGATGAAAACCCTCCGCGGCCGACGTTATAAGACGAACTCCAGGAAGATACAGCAAGGCCAAAATGAATCATTCATACATCATTACATGGAGCATCTCAATGCAAGCAGTATAAGTACCCGAACCTGACCTAGAATCCGCCTCCTGCAGTCACTGTACAGCAGGGATGGAGTGTGAGAGGAAGAAGCAGCACAAGGAGCCAATCAGTTAATGAGGAGAGAGCAGAGTGACAGAGAGGTGAGCTCATCGCTGTGCTGCTTCTCCTTTCACTGTCCAGCGTATCACCCAACGTTCTGAGATGATAAAGAGGGAGACCTTCTAGCACAATGTATTCAAGCAATGGACACACCCCTGTCACACACCCATTATACAGTATATAGGTAATGGACACTCCCCATTATATATAGGTAATGGACACACCCCTGCCACACCCCCATTATATATAGGTAATGGACACACCTCTGCCACACCCCCATTATATATAGGTAATGGACACACATCTGCCACACCCCCATTATATATAGGTAATGGACACACCTCTGCCACACCCCCATTATATATAGGTAATAGACACACCTCTGCCACACCCCCATTATATATAGGTAATGGGCACACCCCCTGCCACACCCCCATTATATATAGGTAATGGACACACCCCATGCCACACCCCCATTATATATAAGTAATGGACACACCCCTGCCACACCCCATTATATATAGGTAATGGACACACCCCTGCCACACCCCCAGTTATATATAGGCAATAGACACACCCTCTGCCCTGGTACCTCTAGAAGTGATACTGGTATTTCTAGTAGTGGAACTGATACTTCTAGCAGGGCACTGGTACATGTACAGAATGTACCCTACTTCATGATATGTGCTGAAAGGAATACAAAAAAGAAAATCCTTGCTGGTGAAAACCAATGACCGGCAAAAAATTAAACCTAAATGACCCAGGTGAGGAGTGATGGTGCAACCCCTGGGCTGTTGGAGCAAAAGTATTGGGATGCCCCTCCAAATAATTGGATTCAGGTGTTCCAATCACCTCCATGGCCCCCGGTGTATAAAATCACGCACCTCGGCATGCAGACGCTTCTACAGACATTGGTGAAGGAATGGGCCGCTCTCAGGAGCTCAGTGACTACAAGCGCGGGACCGTGATAGGTTGTCACCTGTGCAATAAGTCCATCCGTGACATTTCCTGGCTACTGAATATTCCGCGGTCACCTGTTACTGGTATTATAACAAAGTGGAAGCAACTGGGAACAACAGCAACTCAGCCAGGAAGTGGTAGGCCGCGTCACATGACAGAGCGGAGGCAGCGCATGCTGAAGCGCAAAGTGCGCAGAAGTCGCCAACTGTCTGCAGAGTCAATAGCTACAGACCTCCAAACTTCGTGTGGCCTTCAGATTGGCACAACAACAGTGCGTAGAGAGCTCCATGGAATGGGTTTCCATGGCCGAGCAGCTGCATCCAAGCCGCACATCACCAAGTGCAATGCAAAGCGTGGGATGCCGCGGTGTAAAGCGCGTCGCCACTGGACTCTAGAGAAGGGGAGACGTGTTCACTGGAGTGACCAATCACGCTTCTCTGTCTGGCAATCCGATGGGCGTGTCTGGGTTTGGCGGTTGCCAGGAGAACGGTACTTGCCTGACTGCATTGTGCCAAGTGTAAAGTTTGGTGGAGGGGGGATTATGGTGTGGGGTTGTTTTTCAGGGGTTGGGCTTGGCCCCTTAGTTCCAGTGAAGGGAACTCTTAAGGCATCAGCATACCAAGACATTTTGGACAATTTCATGCTCCCAACTTTGTGGGAACAGTTTGGGGATGGCCCCTTCCTGTTCCAACATGACTGCGCACCAGTGCACAAAGCAAGGTCCATAAAGACATGGATGAGCGAGTTTGGGGTGGAGGAACTTGACTGGCCTGCACAGAGTCCTGACCTCAACCCGATAGAACACCTTTGGGATGAATTAGAGCGGAGACTGCGAGCCCGGCCTTCTCCTCCAACATCAGTACCTGACCTCACAAATGGTCCAACATTCCCATAGACACACTCCTAAACCTTGTGGATGCCTTCCCAGAGGAGTTGAAGCTGTTATAGCTGTAAAGGGTGGGCCAACTCGATATTGAACCCTACGGACTAAGACTGGGATGCCATTAAAGT